CACACACACACACACACACACACACACACACACACACGCACACACACAAATACATTATTGAACTGCTTGACCTAGCTTCTAGAGCGCAACATGCAACTGCTGATCAAATCAAAATACCACTTTTTTTTCTTTTTTTTGTTGGGGGTGGGGGTGGTACTGCATGAGGCGTCAAAGAGAAATTATTCCAAAGTAAGAAACAACTGCATTTCTTAAAAGCAGAATAATCCTCTTAGGCCGCTAAGAAATGACCGGGTGGATTGCTATAGATGGTTGGCTTGGTCTTTGTAAGACTAAGAGTGATGCTGTGAACAGACACTGGCAAGGAAAATAATTTGGTAAAGGATTCGGTGATTGGGATAAAGAGAAAATGAGGTCTGTTATGTTGCATTATTAAATGGACCACTTCTGCTTGTTTTTACTGTAATACAAATATTATAACTCAACCCAAAACATTTATTTTAAAAAATATATGAATGAAAGATCAACGTAACTCTATGAGACTGGCAATTTCGTTGAACATTTTTTTTTTGGTGTAAGCGTGTTACATCTAATAAAATAATTTCCCTTTGCATGGTTCGTGCCCGCTTATTAAAATAGATAAAATAGATAATGAATGTCACAGTTGGTGTGTGGTCTCAGTGTTTTGTTATTCTCTGATGCCTGCTCTGTTACAAAGTCGATATGTGTTCAGGAAGTCGTCATACTGGTCGGAGTGAGGATTGTTATAGCTGCTGTGTGCTTGTTTTTTGTTGGAGGTGGTTTTTCTTATTTAAAGTTTTCTTTAAAAATATTGGGGGGTTTTAAGTTCCCCTCAATCATACGTCTTTCTGAGGAATGTAATACCGTAGAAATACTTAAGATAAACACTAAGGAAATCTTACGAATTATGTCTGTCCTCCAAAGACAGGGCAGTTGGTCAACACGTCACGGCAGTAGATTGGGAAGAAATATGTGAGGCATGTTGACAAAATGAGTTACTTCTTCCAATCCACAAATGGAGATATTGGCCAAAAATCAACCCTAGGGGCA